GACACCAGCATCGCCGGCAAGCGAGGGGCGGAAGCGAGAAGGAGGGAGCCTTCTCAGAAAAGTGAGGAGGTCCCCCAGCCTTCTGAGCAGTTTCCTAAGCCTTCCCCGAAAACAAAAAGTAACTTCTCGGAAGGCGCGAGGGCGTCTGAGAAGTCCCGCCGTCTTCTGAGAAGGCCTTCTCCTTCTCAGTTCCCCCCCTCCGCTCGCCGCCGACATTAGTTCCACTGGGTCCTGCCAGGAGAGGCCAGCGTTGGGGCCTCTCTGGCCGTGGCCTACAGCGCGGATTGCTTCTTCGTCCCTCTCGGCGAGTATAGTGCGGCCTCCGGTCGCCGCTTGTCAGGCCCTGCGGCAATGAGTCCGGAAGGAATTGATGTCCCTGGAAAGGGAGCCGAAACATGCGGGGGCCGATGATTCCAAGAACTAGGCCTCCTAGAGTGGGTCGGAGCAGATGGGATCGGAGGATCGCGCCGCATCGCCGATGCATCGGCGATGCGGCTCGATGCGGGACCCAATTTGCTCCACGCCGACGTCGCCGATGCATCCCCGACGTCGCCAGTGCATCGCCGACACATCGCCGATGCATCGGTGGTGTATCGCCGATGTATCGGTGATGCGGCGAGATGATCCGCCCCCACCTGCTCGGACCCCATCCAGGAGGCCTCTAAAGGAACAGTCGTCGGAGGTCTTTCTTCGCCTTGAGCCTGGCCTCTGGAGCCCACCCTGAATGAACCGTTCCTGCGTCCAGAGGGAGCCGGCACCCCCCCGCGGCACAGGGCCTGCTGCGCCTCTGACGGCAGCGCGCCCGCCCGCGAGAGCTCCTTGTAGGGGCGCCATCTGTCCGCTCGCACCGATCCTGGCCAGGAGAGGCTGGTCGTTGAGGAAAGAAGAACCCATAACCCGAATGACACGACGAAGACGTAGCCTCACTGAGGTCCCCGTCTTCGCATTAGGGGCGATCAACCTGGGCGATTTCGTCTGATGCACCTGCAGAAAAGACCTCCTTATCCCTGAAGTTCCCGGCCCTCCTAACTTGGGTTCTCTCCCAAAGGGTTTGAGGTTCTTACTAGTCAGCTGGGGCCCACGATCCACCGATCTGCGACGACGTGCTCTCTTCACGCGGGCGCCCTCGAGCTCTCGATGCCACCTCCAGGGCCGGCCTCTCGCCGCGGGTGATCGGACGGTCGCAGTGCTCGCGTGAGCGGCCCCCGGGATGCCCGGGCTCTTGAAGGGCGCAATGTCGTCTGCTGCTCGGTCTTGCCCAGTGCGCCGAGGGATCCACGAGGGCGCACCACCGTCCAAGGGGCCAGCCCTGGCCACGAGGAAGGAGGAGAAAGGGGGGGAGAGAAGAGGGCAGAGTGGGGCTCTTCCTCTTCGTGCTCGTCCTCGTCCGCGCCCTGCTCCTCCACGCTCCCCCCCATGTCCAGGAGGGGCGAGGATGCGGGATAAAAACAAGGAGGAGGAGGAGGACGAGGACGAGGAGGAGGAGGAGGAGGAGGAGGAGGGCTCCTCATCTCCTCTCTCCTCATCCTCCTCCCTCCTCTTCCTCCTCTCACCATGGTCGGTGTGAGCGGATCCCTGGCGAGTCCTCCTGCGACGTGCCCGTCCGTCCCGCGCCCGGGCGGCGGCCCGGCCGCCCCCGGATCGCGCGGAGGACGAGGAAACGGGCGAGAGAGGGCAGGAACGCAGGAGTGTCAGGAGGGAACAAAAAAAAACACAGAGACAATTAATCGTCGATTCCCCAGACAATATGGGAGAATATGGGAAGTGGGGGGGAAGACGAAAACCCCAAAAATAGGGGAAACTATGGGGAATATGTTTATGTGTGTGTCTCTATGTGTGTGTCCTGGGGCCCCTTCAGAGTGGGGCGGCAATCCAGGCATCCTGGGTGGGGTTGGAGTGGATGGGATCGGAGGATCGCGCCGCATCGCCGATGCATCGTCGGTACGGCTCGATGCGCAGCCCGATGTGCTTCACGCCGACGTCGCCGATGCATCACTGGTGCATCGCCGATGCATCGCCGATGCATCGCCGACGTATCGCCGATGCGGCGAGATCCTCCGACCCCATCTGCCTCGACCCCATGTAGGAGGCCTCCAGGCAAAGAGGGGGGTGATGACTAGGGGGGGGATAGCATGGCGTGGGCCATGATATCTCCTCAGATTTCAGGACGACTCTTCTTATGTCGTTACGTCCCCAGCCCCCCCCTTGGGCCGCGCACATGCCGCTGGCCATGATCTGCGCCCCCCCATCTTGGACGCCCCCCCTTTGGCCGCCCCCGAGCAAGAGTGGGGCGCACGGACGTGGGGAAGGAGTGAGAAAGAATGGGGAGGGAGGGGGAGTGGACGGTGGTGAGAAAGACGAGGATGCGAAGGAGGGAGTCGATAGAACCGTTCCCGTGGTTGCCTTTTTAGGTGCCGCCGCCGACCTGCCTTGCCAGGGACCTGGCCGCCGCAGCTCAATACGACCCGAGACCAGGTGCGATATCGCAAACAGAGCCGCGCGTAGCTGCTCGTCTCTTTGTCTCTCTCCCTCTCTCTCTCTCTCTCTCTTTCTCTCTCTATCCATCTCCCTCTCTCGCTCTCTCTCCATCGCTTTCTCTCTCTCTATCTCTCTATCTCCCTCTCTTTCTCCTCCTCTCTCCTCCCACGCGGAGGGGTCCACTGCGTGGCCCGTTTTGCCCAGGGTTGCAGTTGCTCTTCGCTTCGAAGAGGATGAGCAGCCTCTCTTGCGTCCGCCCCGAGCCCAGGCAGACTGGCGACTCCGACTAACACTGAGTCAGAGGCTGTTCAGTTTAACCTCACAGCCAGCCTGGCTGAGCAGGTTCCCGCAGCAGGGTTGTCGTGAGCCCTGAGTGCGGGCCCACGTTCAGTTCATCACGGGGTCCTGCCAAATCTCTTTTTCTCTCTCTCTCTCTCTCCCTGTCTCTCTCTCTCTCTCTCTATCTCTCTCTCTCTCTCTCTCTCTCTCGAACCTACTTAGCGTAGCTGAAGTTCAGCCATGGGGTACACGCCTGGGAAGTCCCCGCCCCGCGACCTCGCTGGGATCGGTGGCGCTTTTCGTAGGAGGTACGAGGTAGAAGCTGAGCTGAATACTCAAGATAAGATGACTGACGACATGCAAGGGATGGCCATCAGCCTTGCAAAACACGGGTCATCAGCCAAAGGTGAAAGCGAAGAGAACCGGTATACTGAAAGTCGCCGCTAGCTACAGCACGGGGGTCGGAACGTTTAGGTGCGTCGGGGGCGTCCTGGCCGAGTGGGCCGAGCGGAAGAAGAGTACCCCCATAAACCTGGTGAGAATGACCCTGACTTCGCATTTCCCCCGTCGCGGGCCCATCGGCCTCATGCGCCAGGGGGGAGGGCCTTCCACTTCATGGTCGGGGCGCCATCCGACGGCGACATTGGCTCGTCTTCGAGGTCGAGCGAGAGCCCGCCCCCCTCACCGACCCAGAGGGCCACAGAGGCGAGGAGCCAAACGGGTCCACACATCTCGCGTTTTGCGCTTTGCATGTTCACCATGGGCCTCTTGCACGCCCTCGTGCTGGCAACCAGCATGCCTCCGAAGTCCTTTGCCCTGCACCTTCGGCCACCGCCTGCGCCCATGGATGCAGACAGTGCCCCTGCCAGCAGCGAAGGAAACATGAGGTAAGGGCTCGGCCCCTACCGGCGCAAGCGACATTCAGCTGCATGGCGGCTCGGCCTCCGCCGTTGATAAGAAGCTCGTCCGCCCAGTCACGGCGCTGGCCCACGGCACCGATTCACTTGCCGAAGAGATGCCCATCGTCCGGGAGTTCGGGAGCACAGACCCTGAAGCTTTCAGGGGGAGTAGAGAGGAACCGACGAAGGAGTCCGACTACAGTTTTTTCGGGACGGTTAGGATCCTACCCCGCTACTGTCGTAGGCAAGATCCGAGTCCTTGTCTTGGCGACGGCGCCGAGCCATGCCGCGGGCAACACTCCGGAGATGCTCGGAAGCAGTCCACAGGAGGCGGGGGAGGCCGCTGCGTTGGAGTCGGGGAGATACCCAGCGGGATGGCTTCGGGGGGCGCGCGTGACAGCGGCACAGCTGCGGAGGTATGACACCAGGCCAAAAGGCTCCGGGCAGGCCCTACAATCGCGGAAACGTAAGATTCGACTGCGCCGAAATTCGGGTGCGCCGACGCTTTTTGACGAGCGTCCTGGATTTCGACGGTCCAGTTGTCCTGGGATGGTCGCGGCGGGAGCTCGCGTCAAATTTCAGTCCGGGTCTCGTCATTATCACGATGGCCCCGCCAGGCCAACCCCAGCCCCCTGAACCCGAGTCCCACGTCTCTCCCATACAGCTGCCCCTGACGATGCGAATCCCCGCGACCTCTATGGCTCGATTGGGGGCCTGGCCCTCCGAGGACTTGGGGCAGGCATTGAAGCTCGGCTACTCGGGTCGGGCGCTCATGTCGGTGCTAAGAAATGTGGGTCTCGTGCCAGATGGCGGCAGCATCAGGTGGAGCTACGCTACGCTTCTCCCGATCGGCCCGAAGGCCGCGCCAATCTAGAACTCGGGTGGGAATCTTGGCCCGCGCCTCCGGCACCCGGGCGATTATGCGATCGCCGCGCACGGACTGCTTCACGGGCAAGCGGGAGCAGGAGGGGCGCAGTTCTGCCCCTGATCACTGGGAGCCCGGCCCCCAGGGTCGGGCGCGAGGCTGCACGAGAAAACATGCCCGGCGGCAACATTTCGGCACTTCAGCTTGCGATTTGATCGCCAGAGGTGGCCGGAAGTCACGCTTTCGCTTGGAGAATTAAAAGCGTCAGATTTCTGTGGTAAAAGTGGCCGTCGGCCCCAGACCATCATAGACCGGCGGTCAGTGATTTCCCGAGGGTGAACAAAGACAGGGTCGGAGAGTGCCCAGACGAGGAGGCCAGGTAGAATTTGGCGTCGACACTTCTTGGCACATTTGTCAAGACGGAGACCAAGGATGCTCTCTCGCAGACCATCGAGGAACAAGTGGTTCACCCGCCCGAGGCGAAGCTTTGGACGTACGGCAAAGCAGACTGGCCACCCCGGTCTGTCGTGGGCACGGTGATCGAAGCGGCCAAAGTCTGCTCGAAACAAGAGACAACCGCCCTGGCACGGGTCCGATTACCCCAAATACTTGCGAGTCTCACGTGGAGCGCATGTCTCAGGAGATCCTCGATGAGCGCTGGAGGGGGCTCAAGATGCGGGCGGCCGTGGAGGAGATGGTCGAGAAGAATCCAATTTTGGTCAACGAACTCATAGCGACCAAGAACGGGCAGGCGGCGCCCAGGGAAAATTTGACATGCTTTGGAGAGGGCCGCACGATGACGGACGCGCGGTGGTCTGGGAGTCTGCGGCACAAGAAGGAAGATGCAATCTGCGCATATGGCGAGCCTCTCGCAACCGCCGCGATGATGCGCACAAGGTCCAAGGTGACGGACTTGCCGCGACCTTCCCTGGTGGGTGCTGCTCGGAATCCGCCCAGAGTGGCTGCAGGCAGCGGAGGCTCGGCCACCGCGCCTGCGGCTGCCGCCATGGGCGGTGGAAACTTGGCGTTCGCGCTTTCGGCCGCTGCCACTGATGGCACGGCAACCGCGGCAACGCGGGCGCGGGGTCCAACGGCCTAGGACGCCGCTGGAGGCGCGGCTTCCAGCGCGCCCCGGGTGATCTAGCAGAAGCTACCGATTAGATCAAGCGCATTTCGCGACGTGCGACGAGGAGCACGGGGGGCCGCGGGCGCCCGAAGCTGCAGCAAGCAATCGCGACGAACGTAGCGGCAGTTCCCGCATGGCTGCCTCGCGCGAGGCACGCGGGAAGCCCGCCCAGGTCGGCGAAGCCGAAGGGCGACGGTCGCGCCGCGGGGGAGGGCGAGAAGGGCAAGGGTGGCAAGAGCATGCGCTGCGCCTCCTCGAACTGGGGCAAGGGCAGCTCTCGGCGGCATTCCGACCACTGGGGAGGCGGCCGGCAGGGCGGCCAGCAGCGGGCCTTTTTGCAATCACGAGGTCAGAGAGACGACACGCGCGGGGAAGTACACCTACGGCTGAGCAAACAGCGCCGCCGTTACCACCCAGCCGCGTTTATACGTGAATTCACATGCACGCCACGTCGGGCGGCCTTCGCCGCATCTCTGCAACAGGAGTGGGACCACCCTGACGGGGCGCGCCGAAGGCCGACGCGCGCTGGCGAGGTTGATTCCGTAGCCCGCCGCGGGGGAGTCGGTGGTTATAGTTGCCGCCGCCGACCTGCCTTGTCAGGGACCTGGCCGCCACGGCTCAGTTCACCTTGACACCTGGTGCGAGGTCGTAACAGGACCCGCGCGCACCAGCGCGTCTCTCCCCCTCTCTCTCTCTGTTTGTTTGTTGTTTTCTCTTTCTCTCTCTCTCTCTCTCTCTCTCTCTCTCTCTCTCTCTCTCTCTCTCTCTCTCTCTCTCTCTCTCTCTCTCTCTCTCTCTCTCTCTCTCTCTCTCTCTCTCTCTCTCTCTCTCTCTCTCTCTCTCTCTCTCTCTCTCTCTCTCTCTCTCTCTCTCTCTCTCTCTCTCTCTTTCTTCCTTCCTTTATCTTTCTCACTCTAAATGTATATATAGCGTTCTCTTGTTGTTCATATCTCTCTCCCTCCCTTTAAATATATATGTGTATCCCTCTCTCTCTCTCTCTCTCTCTCTCTCCCTCTCTCTTTCTATATATCTCTCTCTCTGTTGATATGTCTTTCTTTTTTATATACATATACCTAAGTATGCGTGTGTATATATATGCATGCATGCATATAAGTATGTATGCTTTCTGTATTTATATAAATATATGTATATATATGTCTGTATACTGGTCCCCTGTATGCGTATACCCGTCTTCCCCCCTTTGGCCAGGACACGCCGCCCCAACACGTCCGTAGCCTGTTTGGGCTTTATGATCCAAGCATTTCTTCGGGGCCACGGCCACGAGCTGTCTCGGTGGCCGCGAGGCCTGCTGCGAGGGCCGCCATTCGCCCTCCTCGCGCTCCTGGCGGTAGCACTGGGAGGCGAGGTTCGCTGGCCTGACTCCTGGCGGGCGCGAGGCTGGATGGCCCAGGCAGCAGTCGAGGACCTCGACGGTGGAGACGAGGACCTCTGGGAGGCGCCGGAGGCCGTCGTGCCCGCGCCCGAGGAGGACGGGCCCGTGCCGATCGTCCCGCTGGCGGTGGCCCAGGGCAAATGCTACTGCAGCACGGGCTACACCGCGGGCGGCCTCGAGCAGTGCCGGTTCGCGTGGCGGGCGCTGCGCGTCTCCAGCGCAGAGCCGCCGCTGCGCTTCGTGAAGGCCGAGTTCCTCTTCAGCGACGACGGCTACTGGGACTGGTGGGCCGGCCACCCTGGGCAGCCGAGCGCGGTGACAGAGCGCCCGCTCATCCACGCGTGCTCGGAGAACCCGTGCTCAGTCGTGGAGGGGCCGGGGACGTGCACCGAGCTGATCCACGTGGCGGACGGGGCGGAGCTCGGCCTCACGGACCTGCGGGCGCTGTTCGTCGAGTGCCAGGAGGCGAACCCAGAGGCGGCTTGGCCAGCAGCACGCCTCGGGCCGCTGGTCGCCGCCGCCGCCCCCGCGAGGCCCGCTGCGGTGGCCAAGGCGGCGGGTCGCCCACCAGCCGCAGCAGGTCCTCCCAGGCCCCCGCCTGGCGCTGCCCCCTTCGACGACTTCCTGAGCGTAGGAGGCTCGTCGCGCGGCCCTGGCTCAGAGCTGGCCGCAGACGAGCAGCTGCCGCAGGCGGCCTGGGAGGCAAGCTCGCAGGGGCTCGCGTGCGCTTCGAGGAGGGGAAGCGGGCTGCTGGAGACGTCAACCTGGACGGCTCCCCCCACGGCGCAGATGCGGCTGGCGAGGGGCCCGCGAAGAAGCGGTCGCTCGGGGACCTGCTGGTCGAGCGCGCCGCGAAGCTCAAGAGGGCCGCCTCGGACGCGGCCCCCCGAGGGTCAGGGGACCCTGTGCCCGAGCGGGCGCCGCCAGGAGCTGGTCCGAGCGGCGGCATGGCGGAGCTGGCGCAGGCGCTCGCGATGGCCATCCGCGAGGGCAAGGAAGCCCCCCCTGGCGACATCGGCGGGGACGGCCTCGGCTCCTCGGACCCCGCGGCGGTGCCGCGCGACCTGGCCACGAAGAGGGCCTTCTGTCGTCGGATGGCCGCCGCCTCCCCGGGCCGCCTCACGGAGCTGAGCCTGCAGCAGATGGCGGACTTCCTGGGCTCGCAGGAGGGGGAGGCGGCCGTCGACGCGACGGGCCCGATCGCGCTGCGGTACCTCCTCACGATCTACCTGCCGCAGCATCCGGTGAGGGAGATCGGCGTGCAGACGCACCGCGAGCTCCGCACCCTCGCGGAGGCGGTGGACCTGCTGATGCAGGGGAAGGCGGCCCACGCCTGCGACCTGATCGTCCAGCGCCTGAAGGCGCTGCAGGTGGCAACGACGGACGGCTCGTGGGCGGCGGCGAAGTGGCTGGAGCTGATCCCGCCGCGCGACGAGCCCACGGCCATCCGCAGCGAGGAGGAGGAGCTCATCCGCAGCATCCAGCTCGGCGAGATGAAGCTGGACGAGCTCTCCGCGCGACTGGCCTCCGCCAAGACGCCGGGATAGGGCGGGGGCCCGACGGGGGCGCGCCCGCCGCTGGCGCCTCCGTCTGTTGGCCAGGCAGGGGGGGCACCCCCTGCGACAGCGCAGGCAAAGGGACCTGGGGGGCAGGCCCCCCGCCAGCCGCGGGCTCGGCCGCCCCGCAGGAAGGCTTCCGCGGCGGCTCCACCAGCCCCCCCGGCGGCGGCCGCGGGCGGGCCTCCCCCGCGGGCCGAGGGGTCGGCAGCCCCACCGCCGTGGAAGATGTCCTTCGCGGAGATGCGGAAGAAGTTCCCGAAGCAGCCGGGGGAGACGAACACCCAGCACCGCCTGCGAGCCTTCAAAGCTCGTGCGGCGGCGCGCCCCCGTCGGACCTGAGCGGCGGCAGCTTGCCGCCTGCCCCGCGCTATGGTGGAGCCTCCTCAGGGAGGGTGGCCGATGCCTCCATCAAAGGCGCGAGCCCTGCGAAGGGTGCTGGTGGGGGAGTCCGCGGCGCGGGCCAAACTCGGTTTACCGAGGGCGGAGATCGTGCCACCCTATGCGGGGGGGGTGAGGGCGTCGCGGAGCCCCCGCTGGCCACCGCGCTGCAGTGCTGGTCCGACGAGCTCTCCTTCGGCTTCGGCAAGAGCATCGTCGCGGTCGACCTGGCGGCGCGGCTGGTGGCAGCAGTGCGACGCCACCCAGGCAGCCTTGGCCACTTCGCTCGGTCGTTCAGCATGCGTGCGGACACATTTTGTGGGAGCGGAGGGTCGTCGAACAGGAGGGTTCGGGACGCCCTGCCGCTTCCCCTTCCGTCGACCGAGGAGGTGGACCGCTGGCTGGCCCACAGTGCCTTGCCCAAGGCACGCAGGTGCCGCCGCCGCGCCGCGGCGCGGGAGGTCAGCGAGCAGGCGTGGTTGCACCTCAGCGCGGTGGCGCTCAACTACGCGTTCTGCGGTCGCGCGCAGGAAGGCTGGCGCCACAGGCCGACCCTGTCGAAGGCGCAGACGCAGGTCTACGTGCACTTGAAGAGCCGAGCGGCGGCTCTGGCGGAGGACCCGCTGGCCATGGTCGTGGTCCCTGCGATCGACGAGCTGGCGGGCGGCTGCGGGTCAGCGTACGAGGGCGAGACGGGCGTGAAGGCCCTCCCTTGCCGGCTTTGCGAGCTGGCCCCTGGGCTGCCCGCGCGGGAGTGCGCTGCCACGCTCGACGCGATCGACTTCGTTGACGACGAGGTCGGCGCCTGGCTGCGCCGCCCCGAGCTGGCGCTCCTCGACCAGTCCGACTGGCCCGACCCGCTGCCGCGGGCCCGCGTGAACGTGGAGACGGAGGCGGACTGGGAGGAGCTGGCGCTGCACCTCGCGTCGCTCGGCATCTTCACCACGCTCGCGGAGAGCGAGCTGGTCCGCGTGAGGGGCGAGCCCGTGCTGAACGGCCTGTTCGCGGTGGAGAAGAAGGGCACTCCAGCGCCTGGCGCCACGCGGGTCACCAGGCTCATCCTCAACATGGTGCCAGGCAACTCGCTCCTGAAGGCCCACGTGGGCGAGGCGGCGCTGCTCGCGGCCTCGACGTCCTGGACGTCGGTCGTGATCCCCGAGCGGAAGCTGCTGCTGTGGTCGGGCGACGACCAGAAGGGTGCCTTCTTCGTGTGGCGGGTCCCGCCCGCGTGGCACCCCTACATGGCCGTGGGGCGGCCGCTCGCGGGCAAGCTGTTTGGCCGCCCGGAGCCCGTCGTCTACGTGACCTCGGCTGTCATCGCCATGGGCTGGTCGCTCGCGGTGCCCGTCTTCCAGCACATCCACCGACGGCTGTGCCGCCTGGCGCCGCCCCTCGGGGCGGGGCTTCCCCCAGACGGGGAGTGGCGCAAGGATTGCGCGCG